GTTTGTTCCTTGGCAGGACGACATGCCGCAGACACCACCGTTCAAAGGGCAGCTGAACTCCGGCAGCTACAACAACAACCTGTACCGGAGCAGTGAGGAGGCGTACCACGACCTGTACTACCAGGACCACAGCCTGGTGTCGGGGTCCCTGGAGGCCCTCATCCACCACCTGGTTCCAACCGTGGACTATTATCCAGACGTGAGTTCCTCACAGTGACCCCTGTGAGCCCGGACTCTTCTCTAGTTTGTAACTGTGTCTGTCTGTGCAGAGGACGTACATCTTCACCTTCCTGCTCAGCTCGCGCCTCTTCATCCGCCCACATGAAGTCATGTCCAGAGTGTGTCAGCTGTGCGTGGAGCAGCAGAGGCTCGCCGACCCCCCGGCTGAGAAGGTATATCCTGGCGTGCGCTCCTCCGGCGTTCACGGCCTCTTCTGTTCGCCTCACTTCCTGTCTCCTTCTGCAGCTGCGGCTCAGGAAGATCACGCCGAAGGTTGTGCAGCTGCTGACGGAGTGGACGGAGACCTTCCCCTACGACTTCAGAGACGAGAGGATGATGCGCAGCCTGAAGGAGCTGACCCACCGGCTCTCCACCGGAGAGGAGGTCAGTTCCTGGACTTTCCTTTCTCTGTCTGGTTGTGTAATGATAGGTGGTCCCCCGGGTGGTCTGGGCCTGCTGTGTTTGTGCAGAGATGTGAAGCAGAGCGGGGCATCAGAGGCAACAAAGCAGATATGTTTGAAGGAAAAGCCTCGTTGTTCCGGAGCGAGGTGGGTTTGGAGGAGCTGGATGTCTCTGGTTGAAAGCTGTCGACTTGTTTTTGTCTTTTATCATCCTGAAACTCGCTGCTTCACCACGTTTAGCTGGTTAGAGACAGAAAAGTTGTTTTGACAGGTGCTGACTCACACTTTGTTACAAAGGAAACACTGTGTGAGCTTATAGGCAGTATAAAGTACCACACAGTGATACTTGAGTAAAAGTACAAGTATCTTACCAGAAAATTAGTTTGGTAAAAGTTAAAGTCTCCTTTAGGAATATTACTTGAGTAAAAGTCTTAAAGTATCTTGATATTTTTTGCACTTAAGTATTAAAATTAAAAGTATAGATTTAAAATGAGCAGTTAGATTTTCTGTAAGGACATTTATTAGGAGGTGACCTCCCCAAAAACTGCAGAAATGACTGTTGTATTAAAAGAATGAATGGATGTTAAATTTAGGATGCACTAGTCCAGCTGTTTCAGTTTATATACATATATCAAGGCTGCACAAAGCTTTTCCCCAAAATGAAAATCTACTGAGGGCTGCGGCCAAACGTAATAATATAATTAATGAAATACAAATACTTTTTTAGTACAGTCCTTTTATTTGAATGATTCTGTCCTGCTGGAGTGTGACATGATTTGTTTGTGTACAAATTAATACACTATCAGAGTTTTATATATTTATACTTCTCATTCAACCACAGTTAAATTCACTCTATCTAGGAGGCACAGTTTATATGGATAGTTTTTATTTTTTATTATAACAAGCTGCAATGAAAACAAGTAAAAATGAAATAAAAGTAACAACTTTCTACTTCTTGTCTTGTTTAAAATGTAAGGAGTAGAAGTAAAAAGTAGACTGAAAAATAATTACTCAAGTAAAGTACAGATACCCAAAAATTCTACTTAAGTACAGTAAAAAGAGTATTTGTACTTGGTTACTCTACAACTCTGCTTATCGGGTTTATATCAAGAAAAATCCACCTTTTTTAGCTGTTAAATTAGTCTCTCCTGTTGCTACAAAAATATCTTTATTTTCGGATTGGGTCATATTTTTCAACCTATTGAAGTCAGAGATGAGTTGATCTGAGACACGCCCCAAAAAATGGGCGGGGCTTTTGGAGTTGTAATAAGAAGGAAATCGGGCCAAAGTAGTGCAGTTCCATTTTATGAAGGATTTAATGAGAGAGAAGGATTTAAAATAATCGTATATCTCTTTTAAATGATCAAATCTAAAGTGAAAGTGAAAGTAAGTGTTTGTCAGGGAATATTTCAGCTTTCTGGTTGTTAGATGAACGTTTGGATAAAGCTCTTAGGAATGAGATTAGGATCAACCTTTTCTGGTTGGGAGAAAAACATGCCGATGCATTTTCCTGCTGCAGAGTTCGGTTAATTTAATTCTAACTGAAGTGTTTATATAAAAATCAGCTGATCCTTATATCTGTCCTGGTTTAACCCTCAGAAACTCGGGTCCAGACTCGCTCCGACTCCAACACTGGTTTTTCATGGTCACGCTGGCTGACTGCAGCAGCTTCTCTCCAACATGTTCTCATAGTTTTTCAAACAGAAAGTCATTTTCCACCAGACTCCACGGTGCTTTCCCGTCCCAACAACAAACAGAGGTGTTAGATAATATAACCGTATCATTAATTAGCTCTGAGTGTGACTCTGAGCTGCCACCACACCAAATCTGAGGCTAGGATCTGTAAAAACCGACTGGATGAGAGTTGTTTTTGTTCATGTTGAATCCAAAGTTGTAGATTTATATTAATGATTATTCTGGGTTAAATTCAAATCCATCCAGTTGTTCATGAGATATGCAGAAGTGAAAGAGGGCGTCGCAGAAGTGAAAGAGGGCGTCGCAGAAGTGAAAGAGGGCGTCGCAGAAGTGAAAGAGGGCGTCGCAGAAGTGAAAGTGGGCGTCGCAGAAGTGAAAGTGGGCATCGCAAAACTGAAAGTGGGCATCGCAAAACTGAAAGTGGGCATCGCAAAACTGAAAGTGGGCATCGCAAAACTGAAAGTGGGCGTCGCAAAACTGAAAGTGGGCGTCGCAAAACTGAAAGTGGGCGTCGCAGACCTGAAAGTGGGCGTCGCAGACCTGAAAGTGGGCATCGCAGAACTGAAAGAGGGCGTCGCGTAACTAAAAATGGGCGTCGCGAAACTAAAAATGGGCATCGCAAAACTGGAAGTGGGCGTCGCAGAACTAAAAATGGGCGTCGCAAAATTTAAAGTGGGCATCGCAGAACTGAAAGTGGGCGTCGCAAAACTGGAAGTGGGCATCGCAAAACTGAAAGTGGGCGTCGCAGACCTGAAAGTGGGCATCGCAAAACTGAAAGTGGGCGTTGCAGAACTGAAAGTGGGCGTCGCAGAACTGAAAGAGGGCGTTGTGGAACTGAGAGGGCATCACAAAACCAAAGAATGCATCACAATATCCCTCTTATTAAAAGCCTGCTTTATGTTGTCTCAATTACAAAAGGTTTATGTTGAGAATTTATGAAAAAAATAACATAGTTTTTTATTTTTCATGTAGGAGTGACTGTTTTACATGAGATATTTTGCTAACAGACAGATTTCCTGCTTTTCATATCACTGGGTAACAAAAACATCAGCTTATTTTCTTCTAATAGACAAACTTTACTGAATACTTTGTACATAAAAACAGCCTTTTTAAGGATCCCAACTGTTTAAATGTATTTTCCAAACATTGAAATTAAAAGGACTTAATAAGACTTTCAGTAAACTGATAAATGTTCTGAACACAGACTGATGATCTTGTTAAAAGCACACGGTTCAGGATCTGCTCCGCGTCACAAAGAGCCGTCTTTGTTTCTGAGCTGTTTTCAGGGAAACTGTTTGTAAAACATGATTTATAAAAAGTCTGTGACTCAGTTTGTTCTCGTGTCCTCAGGTGATGAACCGTGATAAAAAAAAAAACTAAACCCTGGTTTCTTGACCTGAGCGTTGAGGCACCAGAGGACATTTCTGTTCAAAACAAACTCACGTTGGTGTTTCTGGAAGCCAAACTGAATCTGCTCTGTGTTCGTGTTTCTCACAGATTCTTGTGTGGAAATGAAAAAGACCACGAGCAGGTCTGCTGACCCGAGTCAGAGGCTGGTTCTTCAGAGCCGCAGCTCTCTCTGAAAACACTCCAGAATAGATGCTCTGAACATCTGCTGGAGGCCGAGTCCAAACCACACTCACAACAGTCCAGGACCTTGATCTGTGTAGTAGGACTGTCATTATGAATGTGGTTGGATATTTAAAGAAGCTGCAGCTGAAACACAAAGTGCCTTCCTGTTTTAAGCTGGTTTGGATTTAGCTTAAAGCTGCAGTTTGTCTTTTGGGTGAAGGTTTATAGTAAAACAATGTGAAGTTCAGCTGATTTAAGACTTTCAGCTTCTTTTGTTTGGTTTATTTGATTTAGGACTGGAACAGTAACCAGTTAATGTTTGGGAAATGTGATATTTTCTTGTGTTGTCGCTCGTCACCCAAAGGCAGTTTGCTGAAAACATTGAAGACTGAGACTCGACACATGAAGGCAGCATTTAACCAGCTGTTATAATAACCATTAAAGGCTCAATTCACTCAATCAGGCTTTAAAATGTCACCTAAATAATCTTTTTCCTCTCTGTTCATTAGTGCTGAATAACTTAAAAAAACAGCTGGCTGTTGGTTGGGTCAGTGTGTGATCCACAGAAAACAACACCATTCAGCCAAAAATAACAGAACCTCCTCTGAAACGATGACAAACCCAGAACCACGCACTGAGCAGTCATCTGCCGCCTTCGGACCGCTGCCAGGGTCGATGGTGTTGGGGAGAGAGCGAGTCCCTACTGGGTCGCCTCATTCCTGACACCGATAGTCGTGTGTCCCTCTGTTCAGAACCGGCAGGCCGTGATGTCTCAGAGGTCTGTTGCTATATTTATCCGACCTCCGAGCATCCTGTGTTTGTAGGGACACAAGTGGCAGTTGGGTGACTCCAGAGTGGCAACTGAAGGAATTTCAGGCCAGCTTCACTTCAAGTCAGGCCTTTAGGTAGGGATTTGGAGGAGGACATTGACACTTGTAAGAAAAACAACTTACAGGCTGACAAGGAGCGGAATGTAGAGCAAACACACAACAGTTGCTGACACTGTAAGAGCTCAACCCACCTCCTTGGCCCAAGTATGCAGAATTAATTCAGTGCTGCTGGATCAGAGTTCTGCCAAGATCCAAGGCCCACCCCACCCACCCTGCCTTTCTATGTGTTTCACAGCAAAGCTGTGTCGCATCCAGAGAAATGATTGTTAAATCTCAGCAAACACGATCGTAGTTTTTCCAAAACCAAAAGAGGGCGTTGCAGAATCAGAAGAGGGTGTCATAGAACGGAAAGAGGGCAGAAAACAGAGTGTCACAAAATCAAAAGAGGGTGTGGCAGAACCAAAAGAGGGTGTGGCAGAACCAAAAGAGGGTGTGACACAACCAAAAGAGGGTGTGACACAACAAAAAGAGGGTATGGCAGAACCAAAAGAGGGTGTGGCACAACCAAAAGAGGGTGTGGCACAACCAAAAGAGGGTGTGACAGAACCAAAAGAGGGTGTGGCAGAACCAAAAGGGGGCATCACAGAACCAGAAGAGGGAGTGGCAGAACCAAAAGAGGGCATCACACAACCAAAAGAGGGAGTGGCAGAACCAAAAGAGGGTGTGGCAGAACCAAAAGAGGGCATCACACAACCAAAAGAGGGTGTGGCAGAACCAAAAAAGGGTGTGACAGAACCAAAAGAGGGCATCACACAACCAAAAGAGGGTGTGGCAGAACCAAAAGAGGGCATCACAGAACCAAAAGAGGGCATCACAGAACCAAAAGAGGGTGCGGCAGAACCAAAAGAGGATGTCGCAGAACCAAAAGAGGGCGTGGTAGGACCAAAACAGGTTGTCAGAGAACGGAAAGAAAGGGCATCTCAAAACCAAAAGGGGGCGTGGCAGAACCAAAAGATGGTGTCTTAGAACCAAAAAATGTGTTTTGTAACTGAAAGGATGTCATCAACCTGAAAGGGGGCATCACAAACCCGAAGAATGCGTCGAAACAATGCCCCTCTATCTAAAAGACTAGTTTACGTTGTATTCTCAGCTGTTAAATGTTTAATATGTTGAAGTTATGAAAGAATAAAAAAAAGGTTTTCATTTTTCATGTAGAAGAAACTGTTTTGCTTTAGGTGGGGTCCCAGCTGTTTTTAGAAAATTCATCGTAATCTGGCATTTTTTTCCTAATATAGCTGCGACTGTTTTTACATCCAAGCTCCACATTTACCTCTTTCCTCTGTAGGAAATCTTACGCAACTTGTGTTGTGAACTGGGTCAGTGGGAGAACAATTATCCAACAGTGGTCTGCTTTAAGTCACAGGAAGTGTTCAGAACAGGGTGACCACTTGACCCTAAGACCCCTCTGTGCTTCTCCACTCGAGTGTGAGAAGCCTTAAAGTTCCTTGCATACCACTGCAGGAAAGAAAAACATCCCAAAAAAGGAAGGCTGTGTGATCATCTCTGGATGTTGTTCATTAGGTATCTTTTCTTTCTTGTTTTGTTCCATCAGGTGTACAAGAAGGCGGTGGGTCAGATGAGCCAGGGCCTGATCAGGAGATTGACGGTTCTCAGTCAGTACGAGGAGGCGCTGGTGAGGATCAACGCCACCGCAGCTGAGCGCCTCGCAGCCCTGAAGGCCAAACCTCAGGCGGTGATCCAGAGAGACTTACTGTCGGTCTGCAACGACCCGTTCACCGTGGCCCAGCAGCTCACGCACATAGAGCTGGTGAGAGAAATACACCTTTTCTACAGCAGATGACTTTTGTTTGAACTGGCCTCCAAAATAACTCAAACTTTAGACAAAAGGCTCATTGTTTAGCTGCTTTGGTATACTTTGTGCTTCTTTTAGCCACTTGTGTTGAAACAGCCAGGAGATTTTTTTTTTGGGGGGGGGGGGGGGTTATCTTTGTAGGGTTTTATAACTATACCTTATAGAAAATTTGACTTTAACCATTTAAATCTTCTTCACCGTGTTGGCTTTGTTTTCTTATGCTAATTTTAGTTTTTAGCTACCATTTTGCTACTTTTAGTTAGTCTCTTTCTGCTTCAACCATTTAGCTACAGTTTTGCTATTTTTGGCTTTAAGCTAGTCTTTTGCTTATTTCAGCTTTTAGTTACTATTCTGCTAGGTTTGCTTTTTCTGTTTTTGGTTTTTAGTTAGCCTTTTGATACTTTTACACTTTATTGGTCTTTTGTTATGTTTAACTTTGAGATATTTTGATCATTTTAGCTTTTAGTTTATGCTACTTTTAGCTTATAGTTAGCCTCTTGATGCACTTGATTTTTAATTAGCATTTTGCTACTTTTAGCTAAGTTCTTACTTCTGTACCTTTTAGCAAATTTTTAGTGTTAAACTAGCATGTTGTTTATTTTAGCTTTTAGTTAATATTCTGCTGGTTTTTGGCTTTTTGATCCTTTTGGTTTTTAGTTGGTGTTTTGATACTTTTACCCTTTCTTGACCTTTTGGCATGTTTAGCTTTGAGCCTTTTTGACCATTTTAAATTTTACTTTGTTATGCTACATTTAGCTGCTAGTTAGCCTCTTGATATGCTTGACTTTTAGCTAGCCTCGTTTTTTCTTCTTCTACATTTTAGCTACAATTTAGCTATTTTTAGCTTTAAGCTAGCCTGTTGCTTATTTTAACTTAGAGTTTTGGCTTTTAGATCCGTCAAGTTTCTTGTAATTTTTGGCTATTTTGATCATTTTAGCTTTTAGTTCATATTATGCTACTTTTAGCTTCTAGTTAACCTTTTGATACACTTGACTTTTAGCCAGTCTCTTGCTACTTTTTAGCTTTTATCTATGTTTTCGCTGCTTTATCTATCATTTTGATACATTTAGTTAGGTTTTAGTTAGCCTTTTTTCTACATTTAGCTTTAAGCTAGTGTTCTCGTTGTATCTTTAATTACTCAGTTTCAGCTTCATATTTTACCTTGTTACATTAGATAAACTGAGTGAGGAAAAGCGGGTAAACCTGACCTGGATGATGGATCCGATCCTGGTCCAGGACTCTGGACTCTGCAGCTCCTCTGGCAGACCACGGCTGATTTAAGCTGTGGTGTTTGGTGTTTGTTCGTTAACAAATGACTCAATAAAGCACAAACCAAAGATGATTTCCCCTCTTTTCAGGAGAGACTGAGCTACATCGGACCTGAAGAATTTGTTCAAGCTTTCGTCCACAAAGACCCTCTGGACAATAAGGTAACGTCTACAAGCTTTTCTAAAAATAAACGAGCAGATAAAAGAATCAACGGTGGTTATGCAATCTTTTTATTTTCCCTCTGGTTCTGGGTCGGAGAGGAGACGGATTTAGTTTCCCTCCCAGACAGATGCTGAGTTTACACAACATGGTGGCTGCTGTAAGGAAACCAGGTGCCCTCGCTCTGACCCGAGCAGCAGCAGACTAAATATCCGCTGCACGCACGCTCAGACACACCTAACTGACAATTTCCTCAGATCATCCCGGTGTCTGGATTAGACGAGCATGTGTGCACCTCATCTCTTAGCAACCGCTGGTCTGCACAGGGGCGTGTTTCGGGCAGCCGATTCCTCTGTCTGCTGCCTTCAGCTGCTAAGCAACGGACCTTTTTTGGAAGCAGAGTGACGGGGGTGGGGGGGCTCTTGTGCTTGAGGCTAGTTCACCTCGTACCCCCAATGAGCCGCTTCGAAAGCGGGAATAATTTAGTGCCCGTTATTGAAATGTGCCCAGTGGTGGGAGACCCTCTGAGTGGCGTCAGGCCAAAGGCATGTGTGGAATGAGATCAAGAGGAATCCACACAAAGAAAGCAGCAGCATGCGTTATGTGAACGAGGAGTTTATTCACTTCGCTCAGTCGTGCAGAGAAAAAAGCAAAAATCATCTGCAGGTTTCTGGTTTTGCTGACGGAAAGTGTTGCTGTTGTTGCAGAGCTGCTTCAGTGATCACAAGAAGGCCAGCAACCTGGAGGCGTACGTGGACTGGTTCAACAGGCTCAGTTATCTGGTGGCCACAGAGATCTGCATGGTGAGTGGTGAACGTGCAACATGCAGAGTAATTCATAAGACAGCAGGGTCTTATTGTGAGTGACCGTCTCCATGTTTGAACAGCCGACGAAGAAGAAGCACCGAGCTCGAGTCATGGAGTTCTTCATCGACGTGGCGCGAGAATGCTTCAACATCGGCAACTTCAACTCCCTCATGGCCATCATATGTGAGTGCTTCTGATGCTCCCTTTCTGTGGCGCTAATCTCTCCAACGCTAACACCAGTTTATCAATGCTAATCACTAGCCTCTGCAACGTTAACACCAGCTTGTCCATGCTAGTCACTAGCCTCTCCGATGCTAACACTAGCGTATCCACGCTAGTCCCTAGCCTCTCCAATGCTAACACCAGCTTATTCATGCTAGTCGCTAGCCTCTCCAACGCTAACACCAGTGTATCCATGCTAGTCACTAGCCTCTACAGTGCTAACACCAGCTTTTCCATGCTAGTCACTAGCCTCTCCAACGCTAATGCCAGTTTATCCATGCTAGTCAATAGCCTCTACAATGCTAATGCTAGCTCATCCACACTAGTTGCTAGCCTTTCCAATGCTAACACCAGCTTATCCATGCTATTCACTAGCCTTTCCAGTGCTAACACCAGCTTATCCATGCAGTCGCTAGCCTCTCTGATGCTAACACCAGCTTATCCATGCTAGTCACTAGCCTCTCTGATGCTAACACCAGCTTATCCATGCTAGTCGCTAGCCTCTTCGATGCTAACACCAACTTATCCATGCCATTTACTAGTCTTTCCAGTGCTAACACCAGCTTATATATGCTAGTCACTATAGCCTTTCCAATGCAAACACCAGCTTATCCATGCTAGTTGCTAGCCTCTCCGATGCGAACACAAATGAATAGTTTCCTTCTCATTTGCCAGAGCCAGCCTATCATTAATCAGATCATTAGCTGGCCTATGAATAGGTTTAGCCTCCTGCTATAAGGACGTAGCAACCTCTAGTTGTGCAATAGTCTTAATTTTGGCCTTCATACCACACCATACTTTTCTGCTTTTTAACTCTTTAGGCAGGTTGTCTCCAAAAGTTTGATAAAATATCAAAAAACTCTATGTGTGCTAATAGAATCCAGCATGAAAACTGGTTACCAGTTCATCAGTTTACTCGCATAAAAAAACCTGCTTCTAATTAAAGACATAATATAAGATTTCCTGCAACCAAAAAAAACGTTTGCCCTGAAGCTTTTCAAACAGTGTAGAGACCATGTTGAGGGTCCCGGGGACACCCCCTCGTAGAGATTTCCATCTGTGTTTGGACTGAAGTGGATCTGGTCGCAGGCCCGAGGCCTGGTGGAGAGCCGTGAATCTTTGTGTCCAGAGCGACGGGGTGGAGGACTCAGAACAAACCAGTCCCAGCAGATGGTCTGCACTGACCAGAGAAAGAGTCAGCACACAATGGAGGGAGGAGGGAGGAAGGAGTGCCAGCTGTCCTCACCCCGTCTCCCCCGAGAGACGAGGAGAGTGCCACAGGCAAATCCGTCTGCACCGGCCCCGTCTCCAGGGAGCCGCCAGCATTGGGCTTTGTTTTACTGCTGCCTCTGAAAGGTTACAAACATTTACCTTCAAAATAAAAATATCAAAAACATGAACCACTCTGAATCAAATGTGATGCAGCAACTGAGTGTTAAAAAATTAAATCCCACTAAACTCAAATAGATACAAAACCGTGTAAAGATTAAACAATGATAACCAGGGGCGGAACCAGAGGGGAGGGCTACCCAGGCACCTAGTTGGCCACCCCAGGTGCCGCTAACAAATAATTTAACAATTTCAGAAATCTGTCAGCAGCTGTATCGTCTGGTGTAGATAGAATCATTGTGATGAAAAATATATATTTCTTGAACCACTGAATTGAAATAAAGCACCAAATGTGTGATTTAAAAACTGGGCAACATCGTAATGACATGGAGCAACTAGAAAAGCTGCTTGAAAAACTTAAATGAGTGCTGCCATGTTGCTGCCGTTTGGGGGTCACAGCTCCCATCACAACAAATTTCAACTCTGTTTAAAAATAGCCATTCAAATTTAGCTTTGGTGGCCATCTTGGATTTTGTATTTGCATTAAGATTTTTTTTAAATATTGTTTTCAGTTACTACGATATAAAATTTCAACCGTGTACATTAAAATTAGCTAAATTGGAGCCATTTAAATTAGCATTAGCAGTTAGCTTAAATTGACTTAAGCAATCAGCATGAGTTTGGAGTCATTCTTAGCAACACCACAACAAATTTTAGCTCAATGAGTCTTAAAATGACAGAAATATAGCTATGAAAATGTAGCTGTGGTGGCCATCTTGAATTTTTGATTAGCGTTTAAAATTTGGAAAATATTGTTTTTGGCTACTACAAGGCTACTTTACAGTTTTGTTTGTCTAAAAATGGCTAACAATAGCTGTTTGTAAAATTTGTGTTAGCGGAAAGCTTGAAATTTTGACTAACGTTCATTTTAGATCATTAGCTGCGTTCACACAAAAATTTAGCGCAATATTTCTTAAAACACCTGAATAAGAGATGTTTAAAATTAGCTGTGGTGGCCATCTTGAATTTTGTATTTGCATTAAGATTTTGTTAAAGATTATTCTCAGCTACTATGATGTAAAATTTCAGCTGCGTTTGTTTAAAAATTGCTAAACCGTAGCCCTTTGCAAAATTAGCATTGGCAGTTAGCTTAAATTCGGATTAGCAATCAACATAGTTTGGAATCCTTCTTAGCAACACCACAATAAATTTTAGCTCAATATTTCTTAAAACAGCTGAATTAGCTATGGCGGCCATCTTGAATTTTCAAGTCTAGAGTTGTTATGATTTGTAGGCTGGTTTGGTATGAACCCCAGATGCAGGACTGAGTGAGGGTGGCAAAAAGAGTTGGAAAAGGTTTTATTTTAAAAAAAAACGCTGACGTGGCAGCAAAAAATACAAGGACTAAGGCTTGGCATGAAACAACACAACAGTGAACAAAGATCTGACAAAGACTGAAGACAGAGAACAGGATATAAAGGAGAACTAACGAGCAGAAACAAGAAACCTGGGAGAGAAACATGAGGAACAGGTGAGAGTGGGCGGGGCAAAGACAGGCAGGAGGAGGTAAACAGAGAGGGACAAGACAGAAAACCAGACTAGAAACAAAATAACACAAGAAACCAGACAAACCATAACAAGAGTAGTTTTTTTTATGTGCCCCCCTGCACCTGGGCCACCCATTGCAAAAAGTCTAGCTCCGCCCCTGTTAATAACAAGAGAAAACCTTTAAATTTAATTAAATACACATTTTAAAACGTGAACGAGAACCCTGATCTAAATCCTGTTAAATACCTGTGGGAGGAGCTGGAAGTGCAGAAATGTCTAGTTTCATTATTATTATTATTATTATTATTGTTATTATTATTATTATTG